ATAATAGTTTCTTGAATTGAAACAAAGGTGTGCCGCTAGCGATGGAAGACGGAGGCCTGTTGTGGCAAGGGGAGTGAGGGCCACCAAACAAACTCACTCGGCCATAGTGACAAGTGACAGGGGACACTTAGCTTGTTACCATGCACTGATCGGATCACAGGAGAAGAGTTCTAGAGCTTGGGCTGTTTGAGGGATTTTCAAGGCTATTCACTAATTTGGCTTGGTTCGCTTTAGCATTGGTGTTATATAACATCCTTTTTAAAATCGGGATGTAGGAGTAGAAGGACAAGGACGAAAAAGACAGGAAGAGGAGGAGGAGGAGGAGGAGGAGGAGGAAGGAGGAGGAGAAGGAAGAGGAAGAGAAGGGGTCGGGGGAGCAGGAAGAAGACAGGGAAAAAAGGAACAGTGCAGAAAGAAATAGGTGAGAACCGAGAGAGTGAAAAGGATGACGATCTATGAGTGAAAAGAGAAAGATGAGGAAAAGATAAAAAAGCACGGAGGAAATGGCAAGGAGATGGACAAAGAAAAGAAGAACCCACAACTCACCACAAAGCTCTCGGAGACGGGGCGCCACTTGGCTAGGCGCTAGTATCAAGGGCAGACTTCCGAAATAGCCGTTTGAGATGCCCAAGAGAATCGTGATGAGAATAGGCCACGCCTCCCCGCTCAGCGTGGGTTTAAGGCGGGGCCTACAGCACATAATAGCCAATGGCACGAGGCAGACACGTGCCAAGGAGGAGAGAAGAAGGCGGAGCTTTGAGTACTGTGTTTTTGTTGACGTCAGCATCTGTAGGGGAGAAAAACAAGAACAATAATTGTAGAGTAAGACGAACTGAGCTGTCTGAAAAGTCTCTCTCTCTCTCTCTCTCTCTCTCTCTCTCTCTCTCTCTCTCTTTCGCTCTCTCTTTCTCTGAGTTTGTGTGTGTTTGCATGTGTGTTGTATTGTGTGTATGTGTGTGTGTGTGTGTGTGTGTGTGTGTGTGTGTGTGTGTGCGTGTGCGTGTGTGTGTGTGTGTGTGTGTGTGTGTGTATTGGTTATAATATTCATCATCTCCTTTGTCATTTGTAACAAGCGATTGTCTTACACAAGAACCGGTAATTGTCTTACACAAGAAGTAGGCCTAATTGTCTTACACAAGAACCGGTAAATTGTCTTACACAAGAAGTACTTGTCTTACACATGAACCGGTAAATTGCCTTACACAAGAAGTAATTGTCTTACACAAGAACCGGTAAATTGTCTTACACAAGAACCGGTAAATTGTCCTACACAAGAACCGTAATTGTCTTACACAAGAACCGGTAATTGTCTTACACAAATGACCGTTAGAGCAGGTTCGCCTGGAAATCGTCCTCCAAGCCGACGACCTACCTTCCCGGCGGCATCAGTCGCGTTGAAACAGGCCATGAGTATGACAGGCATCCAGGACTGTAGCCGGCAGCTGAGTATCTCTGTGATGATTCCCGGGTACAGGGACACAGTCACGTAGAAGGTCAAGGCAAACGACGCCATGAACGGGTAGATCTGTTTGGTCACCTCCCATCGAGCTGACAGTCTGGCTGTGGAAATGGTACGGACAACAGCAGCTGATAATCGTTTCTAGATATGGGGAGGGGAGTGGGAGGTGGGATTCTTGGGGGAAGAGATGCTACCAAAATATCACTAGAAATATTAATACGGACCGATTTGACTCTATATCATACAAGATCTATATGTAGGGACTGGAAAAGAAGGACGAATCACCGAACTTTCCACTGATTCGTGATCTTTTTTGTTATTGATAAAAATGGTATATTGTTGTTGTTGTTGTTGTTGTTGTTGTTGTTGTTTTTTTGTTGATGTTGCTGTTGTTGTTGTGGTTGTTGTTGTTGTAGTTGTTGTTTTCTTTGTCGTTCTTGCCGCAAAAGAAAAGCAATTATTTTGAACTTTGGAGGTAAAATGATTCACAACTGAACTCAAAGCGTACAGCAGATTGAATGTAAGTTATCACAACTAATACGATAATTTGGGAGGCGGGCATCGCCCCTGCCAGTCAAAGCCAAACCAGGATGAGATGCTCGATAATCTGTGTTGGCAGTGTCAGAAATCACATACAATGAAACAATATATTCTTTTAAACATAGACCCCTCCATCTAAAAAAAAGTTTTAAAAAAGTAACACCCCCTCCACAAATCACACTAAACCGCATTCTGTGCTGACAAGAACACACACGAACCTTTAAATCTTGAGACTTTTGAAGTAGGCACGAGGCCGGCTTGGCTGTCGAGTCGTTTATCTCCCCTGCGCGACATCCTCACAGAGTTACCGCCCCTGCAGGCACTGTCCAGGATACCCTCCGTGTCCTCTCGGGAGCTCTCGGAAAACCTAGGGGCGTCTGGGTCTCGCGGGGGTTCTGAGACCTTCAATGGTTGACAAAGTTTAAGTCTATTTCAAATATTCTTTGCCTTTTCTAAATAAATTTTGTAATACCAAATAAACATAGACCTCCCCCCCC